ATTAGGCTCAGAGGCTTGAGGGAATTTTTGTTTAGATGGATAAGTTAGTAAAATTTTTAATAGAATAAGTGATTATGGTGTAAGAATTTATATTTAGCTTTTTGTAGTTGGTTCTCTTGGATAGTCAGACAAAAGCTTTTAGTAAAAATGGTCAGCCTCATTATAGGTTTGCAGGTGAGGCATCCCTGCACTTACTATAGAGCAAATGGTATTAACACATACATCTTCGCTCTGCGCATTGAGCACTGCATTTAACCTGAAGCTTGCTTACGTTCACTCTTTTCTTTTTTTCCTTTTTCCTTTTTTTTTTTTTTTTTGGCATTGGTTCTGGGATTGAACCCAGGGGCTCACCCGTGCTAGGGAAGTGCTTTAGCTCTGAGTGACACCCTTGGTCCTTTGCTTTGTACAAATTGCATCAATAAGTAAACCCATTTCTCACCTTTTTGGTTTCCTGAGTTCATTATTCTACTCTAAATACTTTCAGTAGGGATTAAAAACAACCATTGACTCATAAAATAGCATTGTTAAAGATATGTCTAAAAATTATGTCTTGGAAAGTTTGAAAAATTCTTGATTTGATTTGGGCCTTGACACTTCTTCCTAGCTCTGCGACCCAGGCAAAGATATTTAACGACTCTGAGACTGTTAACATTTTGTGTGTGTTAGGATTAAATGTCATAATGCATTACATAAATTCACAAATAAGGCGGACCAGTGCTTGACACACAGTGCCATATGTTTTAGCTGTTATCATTTTATTGCATTTGAAAATACAGTATGCCACCAGATTTGAAATATTTTGTTCCAGTGAATTATTTCTGTATTGTTTTGTATCTTCTATGATTTTAAGTTTCATAAGGATGGGGTCCAGTCTGTTTTTTTTTCTTTTTCTTTTTTTTTTTTATGCGGAACTGGGCATTGAACTCAGGCCCTTGCACTTGCCAGGGAAGAGCTTATTCTACTGAGCCATCTCCCTGGTCCACTGAAATGTTTTTTTCATTACAGTATTTCTTTCTCACATTTGATGTAGGATTAGGGTAGAGTACTGGTTTATGAAGTAAATTCTCATAGAATAGATGAATGTTCTACTTTCATAGAACTTGTTGTTGACTGTATAATGAAATGGGCTCCATTATGTCACTGAAACAAATTTGTACCAAAACTTGTAAAAGGGCCAGGGAGATGGCTCAGTGGAATAAGCGCTTCCCTGGCAAGTGCAAGGGCCTGAGTTCAGTCCCTGGTTCCGCAAAAAAGAAAAAAAACCCCAAAACTTGTAATAATTTCCAAGTTTTACAGCCTAAAAACCAAATTTTTTAGTTTTACATTAAAAAGAAAGCCTATGGAGTTTTACTGTATTCAAGTTTTTTTTTTGTCTTTCATCTCCAAGAATATGATTCTGAGTTGTGAATTCACTAGGTGGTTCTGTCCAGTTCATGAAAAGGTGTTCATGAAAGCACTTTTGAAATGATATATCATGCCTCATGATATATCAAGATAGCTACCTTTTTTTTGGTTGTTGGTTCTGGGATTGAACCCAGGGGCTCACCCATGCTTATGATACATAATAGTTATATTAGGTTTTGGAATTGGACATAAAATTTCTTGGTCATTTTATTCAGAATTGTGTATAATAACCCTCAAGTGTTTTTGAACAAAGTTTCCTTATGCATTTTCCCAAACCTAGTTCAAATCCTACCTCCTGTATAAAATACAACTTCCTGAGTCTGAAATGAGCAGTTTTCTTTGAACATTGATAGTTTTTTTTGCATAGCTCATTTGCTAAATATGAGTCTGCGTTGTCTCATCTTGTTTGTTGTCTTATGTAGGATCTTGACATGTTTAATGCTAAATGAAACCAGCAAACATTTGTTGAACACACATATGGACCTGATCTCTGCATAAAGTTTTCATGTATTCCAATTTTCACCATTGGACTGTAAGATACTTTAAGGAAAAGATGGCTATGTACTTGTGGGTTTCGTGAATGATTCCTTTGCTTAATAAATGTGACCAGGTGATTAGAGGATATATTATTCATGCCTGGAATGAGTTTGAAGTGTCATTTTCATTTTTAGAACCAGTCTAGCACTTGTCTGTGATAGCTGGATTCATATATATATATATATATATATATCCTTTTTTTTTAGTTTGTTTTCACATATTTTGACTTTTTCTGGTTTATTTCTCTTCCGTCAAGACAGAAATATTATCTTCCTTTGCTGAGCTTTTTCACAGATCCTTTAGGAAAACCTACCATTCATATACGAGTTGTCATTGTAATTTTTTTTGTTTTGGTACTGAGAATCAGTGCACATGCTAGTCAAATGCTCTACCACTGGGCTATATCCCCAGTCCCCATTTTATTTTACTTTATGAGAGTCATGATCAAAAGAATAGAAATAGAATTTCCATTATGCATAATAAATTTTATTTCTAAAAATGGTTGATATTTAAATCCAGTGTAAGCCTAGCACCAGTTAAGGGTGTTCTGAAGAGGCAGTTAGGACTTTGAGGCTTTACTTCAAAGGTGGCCTTTGCATAGACTTCACGGAATATGTCTTAAGTATGTTAGGATGTTTCTTGTGGGAACCCCCTTATTTGATGGAGTACAGTCAGTTATTGGTATGTTAATTTAAAATATTAGTAAAGTTCTATGTAATTGAATAAGAATGTACATATAGTTGTTTTGCTATAAGGCATACATTGCTTTATCTGTAGTTGGTGTAGGTCCACGGCCTTTTTCAGCTGATAAAAGCTTTCTGTCATCCTTATTGTATGAAGTATACTTATAATCGATCCTATGTGTTCAGTAAGTCCAGTTTGGATTTTATGAACATGAAGCAGTAGTTCAGATAATTCATGAAACCAGCTAGCATAGAATGATAGATTTTTACAGTTCTCTTGTCTTTTAACATTATCTAACTCATACATAATTTGACAGCCTCATTTTAAAAGTGACTCATCACCTTTGTTGTATCTTGGCAAAGCATCCAACGTAATTTTTAGTGAAAGGGCAACTCCCTTTTAAGTGGTTTGCCTTCTATTTAATTGAAAAACATGTACTGATTATTATAAGTGGAATTGACAGACAGTTTTAGAGAAGAAATGCAACTGATTTTTAGATGCTAAGCATGTAGCTTAATTTAAGGGAGCAAAAGTGTGAAGTTGGACTAGACAGTTACTTGTTAGTCAAAAATACTGCTTCTGTTGGCATCAAGTCTCTTTACAGAGGTGACGGGGGTGGGGAGTTGGTAGCAGTTATGTCAGGTCTGTTAAGAGACCTGCTGGAGGCCAGTATGGCTTGAGTACACAGTGGAAATGGGCTTTTAATTTGTTATATATTTTTCAAAAGGTCCATTTACCATGAATAACATGCATTTTTACAGTCAACAGAAGATAACTGTTATATAGAGTTCCTGAAGAAAATCAGTGTTCAACTAAGATATCTGTGTAGCTTGTCCCCAAGTAGAGGTCTTCTCACCATCCGTACCTTTTCTTGGCATATGAAGCACTTTGCATATTCCTTTATTTTAACACTCCTCGTGTGGAGTTAATTAACCTGTTTTCATTTTCTCTAAGCACTTCCTCCTAGGAGCCTTTATATAGAATGTCTTATCTGTAGCTGGCCTAGCCCAACAAATTGAATGGAAGAGATGTTCTGGCCACTTGAATAGATGGCACAATCCAATCCCGCTGAGATGTAGTTTTCATTGATTGGGACTAGAGAAGTAAGCTGACATTATCTCTAAACTCAGTCCAGGAAATATTTTAGTTTATTTAGACTCAAGGTATTCCATATATCTGAGGTCCTATGCTGTGTTTACCAAGTCCTGTGTGAGTTCTTGGCTGTGGATGTTTGTATTATTACTCTAGTGAGACTGTTTGAGGAGAGGAGGTTAATTAAAGTGTAGAAGAACCCAAGAGGATTTGACAGGGGATTGAATTAAAGTGAACTGGGAATGGGAACAACAACTAGGTTTTTTTCAGCAGATATTTACTGCTTTGTGGAATTTGGTAGTCTAGATCTCCCTCAAATTCCTTTCCTTTTTGTCACACATGCCTTGTCTTCCCACTTGGTTTCTAGCCTCCTTCCCTAGCAGTATCTTTGTTTTCTTTAACAATCTGCCCTTGGCCATCTTCCTCTGTCTGGGGCGGAATGCTTTATTATTTTAACCCAAACCCTGTGCTTCTGGAAATATTCTTTTCTCACTCTACATATCCACAGCACTTCATCACTTCCCTCTTAGAGCACTTTTTATGTGCATAACCTTTACTGGACTGTAACTTCTTGAGGGTAAATTGCATCTTTGTAGTTCTTAAAATATCTGGTATATCATTTTGAGCAGTATGTGAACACATGCCATTCTCTTAAATTTAGCATTATTCCCCAAATTTGGCCCCTCTTCTGGCTTTTCTTTTTCTGTTCATATTACTTGAATTTTCCTTTGAATTCCACATTTCCAGTCAGTAAGTTTTGTTGCCTTTGTATTTATTTATTTGTTCGTTTGTTTATTTTTGAACTGGGTGTGGTGGCATGTGCATGCAATTCTAGATCTCTAGGAGGCTGAGACAGAAAGCTCAGAAGTTCAAGCTTTGCCTAGAGGGATACATATAGCTTATCTGTGCAGTGTCTGCGTGACAAAACATAAGGTCCTGAGTTTGATTCCCAGTACCAAGCAAGCGAGCGAGCGAGCGAGCGAGCGAGCTGAGGATGTAGATCAGATTGAAGGTTCTGGGTTCAATCTCCAGTACCACTAAAATGAAGGAGAAAAAGGTTTTTAAGCTACCCTATTTTTCTACTCTCATTGCATGTCAGTTAAAAACCCAAATATTTATTTAGTGTATATTGTGTTCTAAGCACTCTGTAGGTGCTGGAAATATAAATGTTCAGATCCAGCCCCTTGTTCTTAGAATACTACTGAGGGAGAGAGAGATAATTTACTTTGATACTTTATTAAGCAGATGTTTCTTGACTATTTTCTCTGTGCTACTTATTGCAGGTGAAGACGTATTATAACCAAGAGTTCTTTTCTACAAGCTGCTCATCTTTGAGGAGACGAAGCCTAGAAAATACAGCTACTGGATTTCTTCTGTTCTAAGGTGCATTTTCCTTCTCTGTTCTAACATTTCTGAAATCTAGAAGTCTGAACCCTTGCATGTATGCTTAATGAAGTTTTAAAAATTTTCCCTCCAAGAACTATTAAAGTATTCATGCTTACAACGGGTAGAATCTCCTAACTAGAAAACTATACTTATCAATGGCAAGTATTGTGATGAATGTACAGAATTGCACTGTCATATGGTAGCTACTAGCTATGTGTGGTTACTAAAATATAAATAAATTAATTAGCTAGTACATTTCAGCTCAAGTTACTTAAAAGATTCAGTCCCTCAGTTTCACTAGCCACAATTCATGTATCCATATTTCTATTGGATAGTGCAGATATAAAACATTGGCATAATTGCAGAATGTTCTGGTAACCATGGTCTAGGATGTGTTTCCATAGTTGTGCCTGGAGGGTTTGAAAAGCTTTATTTATTTCCTGGCGTAACTACATGTACTTCTTCCTTCAGGGTGGAGGTGGTGTCAGGGAACTTATTTTCAGTTTTACCAGGGCATGAAAGAGTAAATAGTAGATATCCAGACATAAACAACTAGAGTGTTAAAATGTTTGGATACAAAGAGGAAAGAGCCACATTTTCATGACAGGAGATAGCTAGCCTTTTAAAAAAAGATTTTCTTGCATTAAAAATTTAAGAACTTTTGCTTAACTTGATATTATTTATCAAGTGGAATTCAGGGAGGCCCATTATGTTAGAAGGGTATGGTTTAACAGAACACCAAAATTAAAATTTCCAAATTGGATACTTAGGAGATACTCAGCACTATATATAATTTCTCAGGGAAGATAAAATTGAGCATAATAGAGGGAAATTACTTACATGAACCATTAGCTCTCATGGATTTATTTCTCATTTAGTGAGTATGGTTTGCAATGGAATGTGGAGCAAAAGTTTCCTAAATCTTTTTCTTGTTTCCATTTTATTTTGTGGTATAATTTATCCATTTTCTTATTAATGATTACCAAGGTAATTTCTTGTTTTTGTATAAAACTAATAAAAATATGAATGTTTTGTGTAAGTTTTTTGGTGGGCAGATGCTTTGATGTATCTTGGGTATATTGATAAGAGGGAAGTTGCTAATATATAGCATGAGTACATAATGCCAGCCAGTTTTGTGAAGTAGTAGAACCAATTTATGTTGCTTTTGTTTGATACTGGAGATCCAATTCAGGACGTTGTGCTTGCCAGGCAGATGCTTATTCCACTGAGCTGTCTCCCTGGCCCCTGTTGCTTTCTTCTTTTTTAAATTTTTTTTTAGTCTTTTATTTATTTATTTATTTATTTGGTACAGGGTCTTGCTACACAACTTGGACTTGTAGTGATCCTCCTGTCTCATTCTCCCCAGCTGTGGGTTTACAGGTGTGCACCACCACACCTGGTTTCAGTGGCCTGCTCAGGGAGCCTGGAGTTTCGGGGCCACCGGGGCCACCACGGCATGTGGTACTGGGGATCAAACCAAGGCCCTTGCTCTTGCCAGGCAGTGCTGAGACTGCCAAGTTTATTTCCCCAGCCCTGTTGCTTTCTTTTTGATGCCACAAAATGCCAAAAGTTTTTCATGTATGCATTTTTTAATATTTGAGCATTTATTTTTCTCAAGCCTGTGTTGTCATTAATCACTATAATGCCACAGACCTTTGGGATCATTCACAGTAAATCTGAAAATAGTATAATAACACAAAATAAGAGCATTCAACTGGCCTTAAAAGAGTAGAGAAAGAATTGTATTATAGTTGCTCCTTTCATCGGGCTATCTTGATTGACTTTAAAGAAATTGATCTTTAAAGAACTCGTTCCTGTCTTTGTAAGTTGATTGTGTTTGAATTCAGCAAAATAACCCATTATAGTCTAATAGTCCATAATAGTAGTGGGTTATCAGCAGAATTGGCAATTGTCTGAAGTTGTTGACTTGAACCTTTTATAGCTCAGCAAATTAATATAGCTTTATTTTTATACTTTGTGGTTACACTTATCTTCTGCTGGATGGTTAAGACCAAGTTAAAGCAAGACCTATATAAATAAAAATGTAGCTTTTATATCTTGATAAGGTCAGTTAAATCCCCTCAGGATTTACCCTGAATCCATATATAGCACTTTGTAGTACTGATATTGTTTAGTTAAGGTATCATGTCTACATCTTGTCCTCTGAATAACTACTATCAAGATGACAATATACAATGTATTAATTATTGTAACATCCTACTAACCTGTTTTCAAACTGTTTCATTACTAAAAAAAATCAAACAAAAAATAGATTATGTTGTGTATTGGGTTCCTGTTGCTTTGTGCTATGGATATTAGTGTACTTTACCTGTCATTGATATCACTAGCAAGTGTGGTGCTGAAGATTGAACCCAGGGGTTTGCACATGCTAGGTAAGTGGCTTCACCACTGAGTAAACCCTCTCTCGGGTCCCTCTGAAAGTTGAATTGAACTTAGTTCAGCAAATGAGGCAAGTTATGAGCTGTGTTCTTCCTATGTTCAGAATTCTTTCCAAGCCACTTCCATGGGTAAAAGCATTGTGTCCTCGATCTTAAAACCTTATCTAATGGGGATAGAGTACACATAATGATATTAAACCAACTATAATTGTCACTAGACTTGCAAGTAAAATACCTTGGAGCTATTTTATTACATCATATATCATGCAATTTGAGTTGCAGAGAGGGGATGGTATCCCTGTAAAATTCCATGGGACAAGGACTATATATGTGGTTAGTTTTGCAAGCATTTTGCTTATGGTTATGGTATGTGTCTGGTGAAGGGAACTTCTTAGTAGAGTCATGAAGCAGGAAAGTTTACCAAGTAGTTTTCAGAATGTATTTTCCTGAGCAGTAGTATAAGCATCTCCTTGGAAACTTGTTACAAATATTAATTCTTAGGCCCCTCTTCTGACCTACTAGTCCTGAAATAATGGGAAATTTCAGAAATCTGGGTTTTTAACAGGCCTTTGTGGTGACCGGGATGTGCTAAAATCGGAGAGCCTTGGTTAGTGGGCCAGAGAATAGTAAATTGTTTTTGGTTGGAGAGTAAAGATTGAGAAAGGGAATAATAAGAACAGAAGGACATAGGCTTACTGCAGAGACCTAGAGTACAGGGCAACATTAGGAGCAGAGGAGCCTTGGGAATTAAAAGGAGCCTGCAGCTGAGTTGCAGCATGCCTGTTATGGGTCATTCTGGAGGTTGGCTGGCAGTGTCAAAAAAGAAGGCACTGGGGGCCGGGGAGACGGCTCAGCAGAATAAGTGCTTCCCTGGCAAGTGCACGGGCCTGAGTTCAAGCCCGGGTTCCACCAAAAAAAAAAAAAGACTACACCCTTGGCTGGGGAGATAGCTCAGTGGAAAAAGCGCTTGCCTGGCAAGTGCAAGGGTCTGAGTTCAGTTCCTGGTTCCGCAAAAAAAAAAAAAAAAAAAAAAAAGAAGGCACTGGTAGCCTCAGAATCAGCTGAGTTGTTGAACCCAGGAATTGGAAGAGGATGGGGGGGTGCTGCTGCAGTAGTCTTGTTTGTAGATGGTGCAGATGCCACATGGTTTGGGAAGTGGGATGATGAAAGATAATTTTTACAAGACTTCCCCACCCCTTACAAGCTTAGTGTGGGAAATTTGGACGCTTGAGGGAAGGTGAAAGCAGAATTACCTCAAATCCCATTTTCCAAAGATGAACAAAACACCTTTCCATTTCAATATTAATAAATATATATTTGTTTATTTAAATTCAGTTTTCTATACATAGAATTATACAACTCGCAGGCCAGAGAGACAGCTCGACAGCACAAGTGCCTGCCTGGAAAGTGCAAGATCTGGAGTTTGATTCCTGGTACAAAAAAAAAAAAAAGACAGGCAGACTGACTGACCCCAAAGCAAATAGAATTATACAATTCTGCACTGAATTTCTTAGACAAATGATCTTGAACACTTGTTAGTGTTCCATACATAAACGAGTGCACCCAGGTCAATATGTGCCTGGAAGTTGATGGATTTTGTTTGGGAAACAAGCAGCTAATTGGCAAGGATCGCAGTTTCATTTTGCATGATTATAAAAACATCCTGGCTACATCGGTTTTATATAGCCAATCTAGGGCAAGACAATCTGAGATACCTGATATGCTAACTGTTGTTTTGGGGAGAACTCAAGTATAGTTAAGAAAAAGATGAAATAGTGTGGTTTTTATTACAAGAATAATGTCATTTTGGTGTCTTGTAAGACCAATTAATATTGAACATAAAACAGTGTCATCATGTAGGTGACAGCCAACTTTTGAAGTTTTCCCTTTAAATAGCTAGCTGGCTGTTAGTGAATTTCTTAACCAAGTGAAATGTGGAATAGTTTGCCCATAAATTAGTTTTGTGGAAGATTTTTGTTCATTGACAGAATATACCTTCTTCTGTAGCATGATTTTTTTCTTAAGATGTTATACCCATTCTTCCTTATCAGTATATACAGCCTTTATATTAGCAGCATTTGTGACATCACTTACTTATGAACCCTACATCGACTAATAATGACTACTAGTCAGCTTGTACAGCTTTTTTATGTATTTGGTACAGGGTCTCACTACACAGCTTGGACTCATAGTGATCCTCCTGCTTTCAGCCTCCACAGCACTGGGATTACAAGGGTGTGCTACCTCACCTGATCTCAGTGGCCGGCTCAGTGAGCCTGGGGGAGGGGCCAGTGTGGCATCAGGTGCCATGAACCCTAATCCCAGAGCTTGCCTAAGCAGGTGCTTAGTCCACTGAGCTATATCCCTGGCCCTTTGGACAGCTTTTAACAAGTTTTAAAAAATATATATGTCTCTTGTGAAAAGCCTATTACTATATTCTTTCCTTACTTTTTCCTTAGGTTGTTTAAATTATACTAATTTGAAAGATGCTAATATATTAAAAATATCTCTTTCAAATAATTTGCAAATCTATCACTCATTGACTTTTTAAACTTCTTGATAGTGAAGCCTGAAAAACAGGTATATACAAGACACCAG